TAACATGTGAATACTATCGCGTATGTACTTACTTACTTACTTATCTTCACGCACAATCCCTGACGGGGTAGCCAGAGAGAACAGATCGCCAAGTGCCACGATCCTTACAAACCTCTTTCGCTTCTTTCAGATTCATTATCTTCTTCATGCATGCACGTCTAGGTATCCGAGTACTCTTGACCCTACCCTCTTCGAGCAATTTGCTCACATGGTCTTCGAAAGTTAGTCTCGGTCTACCTCGACACCTTTTAATATTAACTTTCGCGCTATATATTTTCTTCACCATTCGGTCTTCACTCATTCGCTCAACGTGCCCAAACCACCGAAGCACGCCCTTATAAATTTTTGTGATAAGGTCATCTTTCAAACCTGCCATATTGCGAATCTCTTCGTTCGCTTTCGGTCGGCCATAGTAACGCCGCACATTTTACGAAGAGATCGCATCTCCACTGCATTCAACTTACTTTTATGCTTCTTCTGGCATACCCAGGTTTCGCTGCCATATAACAAAGTCGGTACCAACACTGCGTTATGTATTGCAAGGCGTGCACTCTTCGCTACGCCTTGCCTTTTGACTAACGCAGTCAGGGCACCATTGACTTTGTTCCCGGCAGCGACACGCCTGTCCACATCTAAATCACATCTTCCATCCCGGCTAAAAGCACTCCCCAAGTATACAATTTCATTTACCTGTTCTAGACATTCCTGATTTACCCATATTTCACACTTCGTTCTCTCTTCGTCCCTTTCAAATACCAGAACCTTAGTTTTATTAGCATTCAAACGGTGACCTTTAATTTCACATTCCTCTTTCATACACGTGACTAATGCCTGCAGTTCTGCCTCTGATGGTGCAATAAGCACTGCATCATCAGCATATAGCAGACAATTTACTTTTATGTCACCCAATTTCACACCCAAACAGCTATCTTTCAGCTTCTGTAAACAGCTGTCGAGATACAGTATGAACAGCCAGGAAGACATGACACAACCCTGCTTTACGCCCGTTTGGACGTTAAACATGGGTGACAGGTCATGCCCTACCCGCACACAGGCTTTCCAGTCACAGTAAAGAGACTGCACAGCCCTTAGCAATCGACCATCCACACCATACCCCGGCAACAGTTCCCACATTTTCTTCCTTACAACCTTATCAAATGCTTTCTCAAGATCCACAAAAGCACAGAAAATCTTCTGGTTAGCAGCCAGAAGCTTCTCCGTGATCATGCGGAGAGAAAACATTTGATCCGTGCATCCTCTTCCAGGTCTAAATCCGCATTGTGCCTCCCATAGAAATCTTTCCGATTTCTCTTGCATCCTACGTGTCAAAACCTTCGAGTAAACTTTACTTGCTAAACTGGTCAAGCTGATCGCCTGATAGCACCCGCAGTCAAAATGTGAACCTTTACCTTTATATAAAGGCACAATGACTGCGGATCGCCAATCATCCGGGACATCCCCCGTCCGCCAGCACAAATTGCACAGCAGATGGAAGCTGTCCCAGACGCGAGGCCCACCATACTTGACCATTTCAGCAGTAACTCTGTCTAGTCCCGCAGCCTTACCACATTTCAAACTTCGAATCGCACGTTCAATCTCTTTCATACTGATGACCTCAGTGTCATCGAGGTCCGGGTCTGGCGTACCAGTCACGGCGCCATCCCCGGATCCCTCACTAAGATCATCACACGCATACATTTCTCTATGAAATTCGCTCCATCGCTGCATGACGTCCGATTTTTCTCGGAGGACGTCATTAGTTCACGAAAGCACTTTGTTCATTCTTAAAGCCGTCGCACCACTTCGGGTCCTTCCAACCTCTTTCCAGAAGAGTTTGGAGTTCTCCTTAAAGTTGTGCGACAACCTTTCGTCCGCTTCCATTCTACACCTTTCATGCACTTCCTCAATCAGTGCTTTCGTGTGAACTTTCTGCAGCCTATATCTTTCTTTCATCTTCTCTCTCATATCCTTATCATTACTAGAGGCCAAGTAGTCTAACCATGCTTTCTTCTTCTTCTTTACAGCTTCTTTCACTTCATCATTCCACCATGCATCTCTTCTTTTACTACTGCCTCTTTTATTGTTCCACACACTTCTTCCGCTGCACTTACCATTCCATCCCTAAGGTTCTGCCATGTTCTTTCTACACATTCTTTTCTGCCATCGATGGTGTCAAGCTTTTCGGCTACCCTCGCATGATATTTGTCCCTAGTATCCGCTTCCTGAAGCTTCCAGCTTCGGATGCGACAGACCGACTGTGGTTCTGTTACTGCCGTCCGGTAGCGCCAACCCGCGAACAGACCCCTAAATCTAGTAATCACTAGATAGTGATCCGTTCCCAGGTCAGCACCCCTGAACACTCGCGTATCCATCACCTGTTTTCGCAGTCGGTCATCCACCAGGAACAAATCGATCATACTTCTCTCATTCTTTCGTTCTCTAGTATACATATGGATTTTCTTGTGATTAAACATAGTGTTTGTCACAAGAAGACCCTTTTCCTTGCACACCGCCAGTATAAGCTTGCCAGCATCATTAATCCTTTTATCGCCAAACTTTCCAAGTACCGACTCGTACCCTGGTCGAGCGGTACCAACCCATCCATTCAAATCACCACATACAACAATTCTTTCGTTTCCCCTAACCAAATCTAGAACTTCTCTTACATTCTCCCAAAACTCCACCAGCTCAGCCCTGGACGAAGAAGCTACCGGCGCATAAACAGCCAAAAGGAATAACTTCATCAGTCCCAATTTAAAGCGAACCCAGAGAAGTCTTGAGTTCACAACCTTATATTCAGTCATAACATCGACCAACCGAGAAGACAGCAGCACCCCCACTCCCTGGCAGGTGTTCTCGCTCTCCGGGACTCCGGACCATAGAGCTAACGCCCCGCCAGGGAGCTCTTCAGTACCACTGCCCTTCCGTTTGGTCTCCGACATACACACGACATCTAATTCTCTTTCTTTCATTATTTCGATCAACTCATTCGTCTTATCTCTCATGCCTCCTCTAACATTCCACTTGCCAACTCTGCACTCTGTCCTCCACCTTCCGCCGTGTCGGGCTGTGCGTGACGGGTGGCGGTCCCCATCGCCGCTTTGCGCGCTGCATTCCACACCAACGGGGACGAGCTGGTGTGCATCGCCTTGGGGGGGACGCCCTAACCCTCGTTGGCATGGGTGCGCAGCTGAGTAGAATTGCAGCCCTGAAAAGGGCTGGCAGGGGTCGCGACGAGCACGCTTCTACAATGACCCCCTCGCGTATGTACCAAAATTATTTTGTTTCAGGGACAACGGCAATTTCTAGGATGCAGCACACCGGCTCCAAGTGGAACAACTCTGGTTCCGCAGAGATTGTCGATGTACGTAGCGGTTTTTATACCTCATTTGAATTTTTCTACGTACTTAGTAAGCCCAAAAGTAGAAAACCAGCCATATAAGTCTTCAACTTATGTCGACAAGTTCTAATAAAGAAAAGCAAATATTTGAAATCATACGTTAAAACTGGACTGGACTAATTCGCAATAAGGTATTAAAATCGTCCATTTTTACTGATATTTTTTCTTACATCTTTTTATTCGTGTTTCTGTTTTGGTGTACTTTTAGTGTACAATGGAGAGGGATTTATTTGTCTGCTTAAAACAGGAGATTTTAGGGATCCACTGTCATACATACAAGGAACAATTATAATTTAGTTTTGTCTTTTGTTCCTTAAGTTTCTAGATGTTCTGACACACAATATCATAACTTCCAGACGTTCTGACACAATTAAAGAAAAATTTAGGGGACAGATAAACATTAGTATTTAAGGCCGGCAACGCATCTGCAATTCCCCTGGTGTTGCGGTTGTTCATGGGCGGCGGTAGTCACTTACCATCAGGTGAGCCGCATGCTCGTTGGCCCCCTCTCCTATAAAAAAAAATATAATGCAAGTACTGCTATTAGTCCTTCAGACCGGAACACAGATTGTTTACAGAATAAGCGTGACAAACGAGCACAGTCCACCCGATGGTAAGTGGACGCTGTGGCCCATAGACATCCACATTAATCCTCAATTAAGAATCAAAATGCAGATGCGTTGTCACCTCTGAAGACTGAGATGGGCGGCGGTAGTCACTTACCATCAGGTGAGCCGCATGCTCGTTTGCCCCCTCTCCTATAAAAAAAAAAAATAAAGTATATTTTTTTTAAAGTTTCGTATCAAAACTATGAAGAGTAATACTAAAGTAAATTATGATTTGGGTTTTAATAATAATAATGATAATCATCATTTATTTCGGATCATGAGCCGTATGGGTTAGTAGGTAATTTATAAACTAAAATATGTTAGTAACAACATTAACTAATTATAACTAAATTAATTCATATACCTTACACTACCTACACTTCTCACTGCACCAGATCCGCAGCAGTGTATACGTGTCCAGTGCGCCAGGAACGGGCAGTCTGGTTTATCTACAATAACTCTCAGGACTAGCTCTCAGTTTTGAGTAATGCCAGGTTTTTCACAACATTGGTTTCTTGTTTTTGTGTTCCGCGGAAAAAGCAGACTAAATTTTTAAACATAGAGTTTGACAGCAAATCTCTAAATTTCTACAGACTTCAAAAAGGAGACTGTACTCAATTCGACTGTATGTTTTTTTTAATGTGTGTTACCTTATAACTTTTTACTGATTGAATCGATTTGGATGATTCTTTTTTTATTAGAAAGGTGTTGTTTCACATGTGGTCCCATATAAATTTGATCAAGGTCGGAACAATAGTTTTTGAGTTATTCTTTATAATTTACATTAAAGTCGGTTGCACAAAATTTTTAATTTAAATTATGCAAAGAAAGTACTACCGTGGCTTAGTGCCTATCTAAGGTTAGAAGGACTCTTCTTAATGGTTTATTAATAATTATTTTGTGTAGTAAGATGTTTAAATAGTTGTTGCGAAAATTAAAAATCATAGAGAATTTTCATTTTTTTCAGACTCCTAACACCGAAAGGCTGTCATCTGAACGTTCCCGGAGGTAACACTAATGTTCAGTCTACTCCTATGAAGTCTACAGATGCAGAGTGAGTACTTTATTGGAACGAAGTTCCTTATCGAAATCTGGCGTATATCGTAGGAATTTGGCGGATGGGGGCTAGGCGAGAAAAAGTGTAAGATTTTTCCGTCACGACCCCTTCTGACGTAGTGTAGACGGCATTGGCGGCTAATAAGGAAGCGAGATGGAATAATATCCATCTCCATCGCACTTTTTCTTATGCCATGAAAGAAATATTATTTTATATTCAATGACGCTTCATTTTAATAGACGCAATTAATTAATTTATTTGTATTTGTTAATCAATAATATAATACATTTATCAATAATAATTAATAACATAATACGAAAGGAACTTCGTTCCAACCGAGTGTTCCACAACACTGACGCACGATGTTTTATTCTGTATTTTTTATATAATTTTATCATGACATTGCTTATTACATCATAATTAATTTGGAGATATTGCGATTTGCGAGTTTCCAGGGATCTGATCAAAGGCTAGGCATTAACACTCCTATAAAGTGCTGACAATGTACTAGTGCTACCTAGTACCTATATGGGTAGGTACGACTCTAACCTATTAGTGATAACAATCAATAGTATAACTCTTAAATATATATTTACTATAATATTTTTTATATTATACTAGCTGGTACCCGGGGCATCGCTGCCGCAGAAGAGATAATTGTGGAATTATCGTTTTAAATTTGGAAGGGTTATATTGCTTAATTATTCATAATATAGAATGATATATAATTTTGAAATAAATTTGTTTGTACGATACGCGTGCCACCTGCTATAAGTTGGCACGCGTATCGCAAATATAGTAGGCGCTGTAGGCAAAAAATTAGTAATTACATTTTTCTGTTAAGAAGTTCTCAGTAGCTGCCCGGAATAAGAAAGATCATCGTTTTTCACCCCCGTGCCTCGAAAAGCACGTAAAGCCGTTAGACTTTACGTGCTTTTCGAGGTAACTCTCAGGGACTCATAGTCAGGTCCCTATATCCCTATATCATTTGCTTGCGCAAACACTCGTGCACTACTTGTGCCTGTTCTACTCAGATGCCTAGTCTCTGTTGAGACCGCCGTTACCGAAATTCGGTCTGGAGGATATTGAATGATGTAGTGATGTCTGTAGATAGTGTAGGTAGTTAGTTAGTTTTTTAAACTAACTGGCTGGTAACTTATTTAATTTGTAATTTATTAATGTAGGGACGGCATCGGGGCCCGGCAGCGTCGCGCGACTCGCACCATAGTGATGCTCATGTCCCTTTTCCTGCTTTGCTGGACTCCGTTCTTTGTCATGTTGCCCGTTGGTGAGACAATTTAAAATGTAATTATTACTTTAAAAAAAATATCATATATAGCGATAGCTTAATAGGATTTCCTCTCATTTTAAGAGGGTGGAAAGAACCTACCGTGCTAGTCTAATAGTGGAACATCACATTTCCTCAATAATATTTTTCACTTGAATAAAAGGTTTCCTAACGATGTTTTCCTGCACCATCTAGCATGTGGTAAATTAGTATTTTTTAAGTGCGTGTCAATAAGCAATTTTTTTGTTAGCGGTGGGTTTGAAGTCAGTTCTTTTATAAAATTAAAGTGGCAAACGAATTTTATATACACTAGCTGGCCAAGCAGACGTTGTTCTGCCTTCGACGACACTTCATATAAAAAATGTTTAAATTCGTAATAAAAAAACGGGATAAAAACTATCCTATCTCTCAAGTTGGACCAAATTACTCAGTGTGCAAAATTTCATTGAAACCAGTTCAGTAGTTTAGGAGTTCATCGCAGACAAACAATGTGACACGTAATCTTTATATATAAATATATATAATAAAAAATATATATATATAAAAATTACATGTTCCAATCTGAAGGGTATATATATATATATATATATATATATATATATATATATATAAAGAAATTTTAAAGCATGCATTTAGCCCCACAATTCTTAAAAGGAAATAGTCAATGTTAGAATTAATATTGTTTATAGAGGCTAAAATATTATAGAAATACATGTGTAAGTTTTATTTATGTGTGGTGTATTTGCTGATTTTAGTAATGGAATCAGGTTTAAAAGGTTGTTAGAAATAAGCTGTTGTTTATTGACTGGTAGAAAACGATCAACAATTTAATGTTTTTGTTGATTTTCTAGATTCTCTGTGCGAGTGCGTGTGGGATTCGACGTGGCAATGGTGCACTTGGTTGGGCTACACGAACTCTGCTCTCAATCCCATGGTGTACGCGGCCGCATCGCCCAGTGTGCGCCAGGCGTTGCGAGCCTCTCTCGCTACCACCAGCTCTGCGCTAAATACTGACATACCAATGACGCCTTGTGTGCGGAGGGCCTAAAGTACCTAAAGGTTTGTAGTCGTAGTACGGTGTCACAAAATTATTAATATTCAGGTCTTTATAATTATTTTTATAAGAGTTTCGCCGTAGTTGAGCGGCTAGAGCCGAATAGCAGCCGCACTCTGGTTTTGTTCAAAATACAAATTGCTGTTTTCGGGTCTGTCTGTCATGTGTTGTCAGTGATTGCGTGTCCTGTGCTAACGCGTGCACATGTGTGTAAAGAGGAGAAGAGAGAGAGAGAGAGAGAGAGAAAGAGAGAGAGACGAGAGATATTTGGGTGACAATATAAAACAACGATTAAAATAAATATACTTTATTTACACAAATCCTATCGTGTAAATTTCTTTGGTACAAAAACTACCCATGCTTATAATGTGATTTTCGGTAATAATTAAAAAATTGCACTCGAAAAATACTGCTTTAGAAGAAATGGTACCAAAATATGCACTTTTATTGGAAATGTGCCTATGATGTAACAACAAACAACAGTGGTAGGCAATTTATTTACAACTTAATTATTATAAACTTTGAAATATTCTAACGACAGTTTTCAACAACCTATCAACTAAATTGTGCAACAATTTTTATAAATAACTGTTATTATTTAAATTATTATATATTATTTAAATTATGTTTAACACTCTATACCTAAACAACATACATTTGATCTGAAATAATTAAAGTTGTTTTAATTCATATTTGCCATTTCTCATGTTGTACATACATGAGAAATAGCAAATGGCAAAAATAACACATAATTATTAAAAGGAAATTCTATCACATTATTATCATATTTATAATAAATAATATATGTAGAATTTTTTGAAATGAACATCTTTAGGCTAAAACGAAATACAGCTTAAGAGCACTTTGTTATATTTTTTTAAATATTTTATCTGTGACTGCATTAATGGTAACAGCGTTTCCTGGGTAAATTATTATCTATGAAAGCGTCCCTTTCCCTTTCTTTTGCAATTAATGAACTCCAGGATTAAGCATATTTTAATTGCTTTCGATTTGAGAAACATATTAAAGTTATATTTTATTTGACATTGGTGTACTTTGTTCAAAATATTGGCAGAACGAGTGAGATGCTAGTGCCTCAAAATTGCAGCAACGAATAAAAAGGAGATCGCGCACATAAACAATGGCGGGTGCAAGTTTCCCGCTCCGCCGCCAAAGTCTTTTGCGTCTGGAGAGCAAGTTTTGCAAGTGCAGCGACCGGCGAGACAATATCCTTGCTCGTCTTCTTCTGATACGCATTCCTGTTATATAAAGAAGCAAGTTAAATTTAAAATGCATGTTATCTTAATAAAAAACTTTCTTTCTTCCTCTCTAATTTTTATCCTATATTGTTTCATAGTTTGACATTGTTTTTATTTATGATTTTCCCGATGGTAATTTCTATTAATTTTAAGAGTAATTTTGAAGTGAAAATGTTTGTTAATCTTTTCCGTTTTTAATATGTTCATAATAAGTATTGATTTTTTTAAATGTTAAACTGTTCCTAATAAATTTATTTTGCACTGAATTAATCTATTCGAAAATGTTGAATTCAAATCCCAGTGTGGGGGTATCTCATATATATAAGGCACCACTCGCTCTATCCTTCAAGACAGACCGCTGATGCTGCGGTGCGAGAGTGGGGCCACTTGGAAAAGAGGAGCGGCAGTATAACGATACGCAGACTTATGTAAAAAGGAAAGGAGAAGAGAGTAATCCTCTCTAAGGAGAGGGGGGTTTGGCAGCCGGCATTGGTGGGGATGATGAATTGTACGGTTCACATTGCCCTGCTGCTATGCATTGAAAGAGAAAGAGAATCCATCATCCCAATCTGATGGGTCTCTGTAAGAGACAATGGCCAATATGCCAGAAAGACCTACATGCTATAATATGTTTTTATCTTATAAAAACCGAGTACGCAACTCCCTAATGGTGACTACCGTCGAACAACAGCAACAATGGAATTGCAATGCATTGCCGGCCTTTTAAAAAAAGAGTTTAAAAAAAAACAGTGAATAGCGTGACAGGTACAAAATTTGTCCGTCAGGTTATAAAGTGTTCTTATCATTGCGATAAGGAAAACTGTAAAGGAAAGAGAGGCAAGATTTGCCGACATTAATAAATAAAAGGCTGTTAACGAGAGAGAGGCAAGATTCATAACGCACTACCGACCTCGTCCCGCTTGCACTCCTGGCCGGGCCTGCGCTTGTGCCAGCAGCGGAGCGGGCTGCCGGCGGGGCGCGCGCTGTACGCGCACGCGCATGCGCCTCCCAGACACAGCGTAGCGCCCGGCGAGCCCGACAGCCCCTCGCACTGCACGTCGTACTCGCACGCCTCGTTCAGCGCTTTTACCGCTGCAATTTATTTTTCACTGTGACAACTTTCCTGTTACACCAACGCTGCAGTTATATTATGGTTGCAGCACTAATGGGTCGGCTCGACAGTAGGACCACGCTCTCACAGGATACCAGCGTAAAATAGCCAGTTTAATGTTGCTGTGTTTCGTATGGTGAGTGGAGAGAACCGGAGATCCTTTTCTGGTAACGAGGCATTCCATCTCAGTCTTCAGAGGTGACAACGCATCTGCATTTTGATTCTTAATTGAGGATTAATGTGGATGTCTATGGGCCACAGCATCCACTTACCATCGGGTGGACTGTGCTCGTTTGTCACGCTTACTCTGTAAACAATCTGTGTTCCGGTCTGAAGGACTAATAGCAGTACTTGCATTATATTTTTTTTTATAGGAGAGGGGGCAAACGAGCATGCGGCTCACCTGATGGTGATATTACAAGATAGGTGCAGAGTGCACATAGGTGTTGTGTTAGACGCATTGGCTTAACATCATTCAGGCCGCTAGTTGAACGGCGACGTTTGGTAAAAAGGCTAGGCTGTTAATTGAACGGCTAATTAAGCTAGTTGGCTGAGTACGTACATAAACGGATAATATTCCGTGAAAGGGTGAGCTTTCCCCGGACGATTCCATAATTGCTTAAAAATCAATACTGGAGGCAAAGAACTTACCCTCAACGCACGAGTTGGTGTCCTGGTGTGCAACCCAGTTTTCACGGCAACGACAGGTGCCACGGCATTCAAGACCAGCGCCTGCACACTGGAGTTGGTCTTCGCATTCCTCGCCTAGCGCAGCATCGCGCACGCATCTAAACAGTTTATGAGTGAGTTGGTTTATAGACTTCTGGGTAAGGGATGATTGATATAATGATATATATTATTATAAATAAGTATAAGCCGCGGTAGTTTAGGGGCTACACCGCACTACGTGAACTCTGGTTCGATCCCCACCTGCATCTCTTGAATTGTTGAAAAGAAGGACTGGCGCAGCGCGGCCGACTAATTGCCCATAGCTCTCTCAGAAAATACCTACCTACCTAAGTAGGATTCGAATCCCGCACGGAAAAAATAATTTTACGATCTACACACGGTCTAGTTTTGTTGCAATAATGTTTGTTCATGTGCCATTTACGTATGTTCACGATATAGGAGAAAATTTTAGTAATGTTAACAAAGAAAAAAAGTCTCTTTCTTAAAACTTCTCGAGAAAGTTTTAAGTGTACTGATAAAAAAAAACATACCTAGTTCCGTTATCTCTCGGACTGAATTGCAGTTGACAGGTGCAGTATCCTCGCACGCAGAAGGCTTGTCTCTCAGTGTTCTGCTCACCCAGGTAGCAGTTCTGATCCACCACGCATCGGTCACCGATCACTATAAAGATTTAATTTTAAATATTAAAAATATGTCTGCTCACATTTCTTTGTTAATGAATTAATAGTTACCTAGCTAATAGTTTAAGCGACAATAGCTTAATTGTTTAGGTTACGAACCAGTCTTAGAACAAGTCTGTGGTAGAGCCACGCTGCAGTTATATTATGGTTGTAGCACGAAAGGTTCGGCTCGACGGGGGTAGGACCACACTCTTAATGCTGCTGCGGTTCGTACGGTGAGTGTAGAGAACCGAAGACCCTTTTTACTGGATTCCATCTTAGTCTTCAGGGGTGACGATAAATGTAGATGTCTATAGGCCACAGCATCCACTTACCATCAGGTGGACTGTGTGTTAGTTTGTTACCCATATTTTATTGAATAATAATATCATGACCTCAAGCTTTAATCGAAGTGTTGCTAGTGGTACAGTGGGCCTAGCCAAGTTGACAATCTGCAATCGTTATTGTTAGTACAAAGCTGTGAAAATGAATGGAAATGACATATCTCAACGTTAAGAAGACACCTAACAGTCACGTTGGTTTCATTCATTTTAGCAGACTTCAAATAAAGGAGGAGACGTACAATTCGAATGGTTTTACTGTATGTTCGTTACGCAATATCATCGTCAGTTGTTAACTGTTTTTGATGATTCTTTTTTTTATTAAATAAATTATATAGGTACTTTCAGGCTTGGTACCTTATAAATTTAGTGCAAACCATTCACCCCTAAGGGCGGCACAACAGAGGATGAAGATGTAAATGTAACTATTTAGACTACTACGAGATTGTTATATTTCTTAGTTTATAAAGAAACTGTTAATACAATTTCTAATTTATGTACAATATTAAAATTATAATAATAATAAAAAAAACTAAAACTAGAAACTTAATTATCATATAGTCCTACTCCCCGCGGTATCGTGCCAAGAACGCTGGCTGCGTTTCCAAAGTTACAGTCTATATACACGTCCCACTGCTGGGCACAGGCCTCTTATTTCTGACAGGGCTTAGGCCAGGGAAATGTGCGTCGCGCTGCAGCAGTGTGTGTTGGTGAACTGCACATGTTTTCTAAATATTTTTTTTTTATTTCTTAGACATGCAGCTTTCTTCCAAATGTTTTCTTTCACCGCCGAACCACTTGCGTAAATCAGCACTTAAAATTGTAACTAAAAATTTCATTGATGCCGGGGGCGATAGAACCCGGGTTACTCGCGTACTGTGTTCACTAAAAATAATTAACTTTTCATAAAAAGTAAGGACCGGCTTCAAACAACTAAAAAAAATGTAATAATGTCACGGTCTCCAAGGCATATTCTTCCACATTCAAAGAAGAATATTACAGTCATAACTTACCAGCGGTCTCATAGCAGCGGTCGTCTTCGAGGTGTGCGTTGGGTGCGCATGCGCAGGCGCCGGACGTACATTCAGAGTGCACGCCCATCGTCGAGTGACACTGAATGTGCTGCACACACTCCTCGCCCATGCGAGCCTCTGAAAATTAAAAATAATATGATATTAAGCCGCGTTTTTCCAACAAGCGTATTCCTTTGAAGTTGCCGCCGAAAATGGAAAAACGGTTCCCGACATTGTTTAACACTAGGTAATTACAGAAACATTTGTTACCAACACGTGTTGGCAACACAACAGTTGGTAAAAAAACTTTGGTGGAGACTTTACGTGGTAGAGCCACGCTGCAGCTATATTAGTAGTATAGTTGTAGCACGAATGGGTCGGCTCGACCGGGGAAGGACCACGCTCTTACAGAATACCAGCGTCAAATAGCAGTTTAACACTGCTGTGTTTCGTATGGTGAGTGTAGAGAACCGGAGAACCTTTTTACTGGAAAAGAGGCATTCCATCTTAGTCCTCACGGGTGACAACGCATCTGCGTTTTGATTCGCAAACGAAGATAAATGTAGATGTCTATGGGCCACAGCAACCACTTACCATCAGGTGGACTGTGTGCTCGTTTGTCACTCGATCCTATTAAAAAAAACAAAGACGCGGCTTTAGATTTAACTGTCAGACAAGCTACAGTATTGAATCTATGAAAATCAGCATCATTATAGTCTGTTAACGTCCACTGCTTAGGCCTCCCCTTAGATTGCTTCATAAAGAGGATATCTGCCATAGTTGCCACGCTTGGCAGGCGGATTGGCAGGCGCAGTTTCTTATTATTATTTGTTATTAGGAAGATTGTTATTAGGTATTATATAATAATGATTAACTTGTCGTAGATTTTATCGTGTAGTGGCGGCATAAGAATATCGTGTGCCGTAAAAGACACCAGAGAGAAACAAACCAGGATATGGGCAGCGACGTCTTCTTAATAACAACTAAAAAATAAAAAAAATCTTGCTGGAAATAAAATCGTCAACAAATGAGGCAATCTATGAGGGTAGTCTATGTTTAACAGTGGACTTTAGTTAGCCTCTAATGGTAACGGTAGCGATGTCCACAGCCTGGAGTTGTTACTATCATGTGGTTTGCAATATGGGAAACATAATGTGTTTTTTTTAATCACAGCGATTGTTGTGCTTCTCACCCTTCAAGCATCCCTTGTGTGTGCTGTTCACGGCGGCGTACACGAAACCGTCTTTGCAGACGCAGTAACTGCTCTGTCGGCAGAACGCGTTGTCCGGACACTCCATGTCCACGTGGCACACATTGCCCGTGCGCCCTGGAAAAGAAGGCATATGTATAAGTTACGAACTGGCTTCAAAAAAAGAAGGAGGTTCTCAATTCACCTGTATTTTTTGTGTGGACCGGTTTTGATGGTGCTTATTTGAAAGCTGGTGCTTCTCATATGTATGTAAATTTTAAACAATATGAATATTATATCTATACACATAAATAAAATTGAAGTGTCTGTTTGTAATGTCAAAATAACACCTTTTTACTAAATGCATATGAAAGCATATACGGTACTTATAACAAAAACACAACTTTTAAATTTTTGTCTGTCTGTCCGTCTGTCTGTCTGTCTGTTTATTCCGGCTAATCTTCGAAATGACCGGACCGATTTTGAGTGGACTTTCACTGGCAGATGGCTGATGTTATAAGGAGTAACTTAGGCTACTTTTAATTTAGAAAAAGAATTAAGGTTTCGCGCAAAACAATTAAAATCCCAAATTACACGCGGGCGAAGTCGCGGGGAACAGTTAGTTTTAAATATTTAGTAACGTAGGTAAGTAAGTCACTTTAGCACGAGATTTAAGGTAAATATAAAACAGTGTTCCTCAAATGTTTTCGACTTGCGCTAAGGCTATCTGTACTGTACATAAATTGATTAACATGAAACGCAAGTTTATTATATTAATAAAGATAATATACTCGTAGTATGTATATAATAAAACGAAAGGTACAAAAAGATTTATTTTTATTTTTTATTTATTAATACTTATCAGTGACACTTATAATAAAATTGTTAAGCAAAGCGTTTTATTCCATATTCCATTTCTATTTGATTGGTTCCTCTCTTCATCCCTCTTTCTTGTAGGTATTATAGTATTCTATTGTTATCTCGCTTTAATTGGTATCATTTTAAATATGATAGGTTCTTATCTTTTAGTATAGTCGAAATTTGAGGTGTTTTTTAGAAGTAAGTGTTTAAAAAAATAAATATGTAATAGTTTTGCACATTGAGTTATATGTACTACGTACTAGAGAAGCCATTCCAAACAAAAATTGTGTCCTACTCTATGTCTTCGCGCATGCGCGGGAGTAGTAGTCGCGCATGCGCGAAGACTTTAATTTGATATAAAATAAGATATTAATATAAAATAAACATAAGAATTTAATATAAAATATCTTAGTTTAATCTAAACAAACATATTTCTAAATAAAATGTAATAATAATTATTTTATGGAATTCACAAATCTTCAATTTACGCAATATTTAGTTTGTATGGACTGCACTACAGTTCAGTTGAACATAGTTTATGTTCGGATTGGCTTCTCTAGTACGTAGTACATATAACTCAATGGTTTTGCACAAGTTGAATATTTATTTTAACACGATTTTATTAGATTCTCGTGTATTCATCTATTTATGTAACGGAATTTTTTAATGTAATTTTTACCAACTTGTAGACGGTCGATTGATTTGAAAATTTGCGTATCTAGTACTGATGACAATACAATAATTTAAAAGCTTTACCCTAGTATCCTGATCAGGATCACCAGGATTATTCTCTCTAGAATTATCACAGCTTATGATCCAATGCGCATTTATTAAGTTTTCTTAAATTGTAATATTATTTTATTCATAAATAACAGAATAAACTAGGCTCATTTGAGTGCGTTTTTTTTTCTACAAACATATTGTTATCATCAGTTAATTGTAATATAAAATCCTCTTGGATTGTTCGTTTGTAGACATATTCTCATGCTAAATCAAACAGAATATAGTAGTATAATAGTAGTTTAATCTTTTGATTTTGATAAAAAAGCTAGTTGTATACAGTGAAGATAACTTAAGGATTTTTTTAAATATTTCTTTGCTTGGACTGCTAAAAGGTTAATGTCGCATAATTATTTCTCAACATTCAAAAATAATTTTCGCAAACTTGTAATTCGATAAATATTTGAAAGTTCCAAAGAAATATTCCGTCATTCTTTAATCGTTTAACCGAAGTTCAATATGAGGATATTCCAAATTGTTATTATTGACATTTATAACATCTTTTAAAATCGAATAAACTGAATGAGATAAATAAACTTTAAATAATAAATTATAACATTTTGAAATTTGTAAAATGTCCACGAAATAATCAACAATTTGAAAAAGAAAAATATTAGTTCAAATTCCGATTGAATGACATAATAGCTGATATTGAATAATTACCTGTACAGTAACAGCCAAGAACAAAAGGAGAATTGAAAAATAGCCACAAATGAATACGAGGACATACGAGCATAATCATTATAATGCGACAGATAGACGGTCCGTGAAATTATCTAATAGCACAATGGATAATGATGTAACATGCGAATAATTTACGTGTATTATTTAAACGAATGGTAAATTACTGGTTATTTTAATTAGAATTTCCTCACAAATAGGCAATGGCTAGTATAGCGGTTAGTGCTTGACTACTTGAGGTGATCGCTACCAAGCAATTTCTAATTTGTTTTGTGTTGTTAATTATGTAACATACATGATTGTAAGCTGTTTTTTTTTTAAAGAAAAATCCCGTTGGGTTCCTTGCTGGTTCTTCCCAGGAAAGAGGATTTTGGCCGAAACGGTAGTAAATTAAACAAAAGTATGAGCTTCAATAAGTATTATTTATAAACTATATTATTGAATAGAAAAGTTTCTGTTTCTGTTTCAGTAAATATTATACCACCAGACAGGAAGTGTTGATATAGCCGAAGATGCCTCTAGCTAAGCTTGATAAGGTAGCCTTTTACTACTATTTTTACTTTAATTACTTTACTACTGTTTTTTTAAGGTTAAATAAAGATTAAATAAATAAATAACAGACTTTTTAATAAAATAAATTGACAAAAACACTTGATAGTTCACACTACGGTGATTGGCTACTGCAGCCTGTGGACAGCTGCAGCCCAATCTTAGGACTAAGGATAAGTCCTCACAGCCTGAAATTCATTATTTCCTTGAAGACATCAAACGAAGAAATATAAAATAATTGCTACATGTAATCAGAGATAAATATAGTGTTTTTTTTTAAATTATTGTTTCATGTATACTTTTTTGTACCTATCTGATGTTTTGAGATGTTAAGGAAATTGTACTGGTTCTGGGTGTTTTTCATGTGCAGTATATATAACGCCTCTATAATATTAGTTTATTTTAAAACAATATCTATCGGCCTTATAGGTGTGGATGTGATGCAATGCTGTGAGATTTTATTTTATTTTATAAAATAAGGGTGACAAACGAGCACACAGTCTCTATGGTAAGTGGTTGATACTGCGGCTCATGGACATTTAAATCTATCTGTAATTAAGAATAAAAATGTAGATGCGTTGTTTGTTACCCTTGATGACTAAGATGAAATGCCTCGTCACTAATAAATAAGGGTCTCCGTTTCTCTACACTCATCATACGAAACAGCAGAATTAATATTTAAATATTAGCTGCTATTTTACTGACCGACCCATTAGTGCAGCCATAATATATTTGCAGTATTGCTCTACCACGTAAAGTATTTTCGTCCTCATTTATCTAAAGTATTTACGATATCTTACTAGACTAGATCCAATTTAAAAGCTGCTCGGGATGTGCTATAGATAATAGAGGCCATAACTACCCACAGATCTGTTTCTTTGTTTTTATTTTACTAAATCAGAATTTTGTTCGTTTGTGTCGTGTGTCGTGAAATAAAATATTATCGTGCGCCCAGCGAAGTGAGCGTGCAATTGCAAATAAATGTTAAATAATTTAAAATTTAAAATTTTTTACAACCGACTTCAATATAAATTATTAAGATTAACTCAAAAACTATTAGTCAGACCTTGATCCTCTTTATATGGGACCACGTGAGAAGTACCAGCATTCAAAAAAAAAAGAATCATCGAAATCGGTTCACCCAGAAAAAAGTTATGAGGTAACACACACGTAAAAAAACATACAGTCTAATTGAGTACCGTCTCCTTTTTGAAGTCTGTAGAAGAGAACAAACTTGTGCTAATGTTTGACGTACACAAAATAGCTATAAAACACGAGAGATAACTTTGTTTACATTCATCTTATCAGCAGTTGACTCGCGATCTTGATTTCACGACCGTTTACTTAGTTCTTGATGTGAAGTTGACATATCCTACCTTAAGGTTTTTATAATAGATCTTTGCCAAGGTCCATAAATCTTATAGATTATGTATTATTGCCGTCTCATGAAAGGTCCATTGTTTAAAGTATGTTGTCTTTATAATGCATAATATTTTTAGATTTTAATATTATTTACAATACACGATGTTATTATTTTCCCCCTATCTACATTTTTGTACATGTATTGATTTTCTTTATAAAGGTTGGTAGTTAGTTGCTACACCACGATGTAGCAATAAAGGCCCTGATAGGCGAGCTTTTTAACTAATTTCAATAAGGGGGAGGTACTCAATTCGACTGTGTTTTTTATGTGTGTTACCTCATAACGTTTTTCTAGATGAAGCGATTTCAAATGTTCTTTTTTTATTTGAAAGCTGGTGCTTCTCACATGATAAAATTTGATCAAGGACTGACCAGTTGTTTTTGAATTATCCTTAATCTTTTTAGTAATCATAAAAACATTTTTATTTTGGGTACCTCCCATACCATATGGGTAATTTTATTAACCGTCTATTCCATCATGTGGGGTGTCGATTCAGGGCTCCATTTGAAAAATATTTAGCTTGAAGGTTTTATTTTTAATTAGTGTAAAAACCTGTTCTTCAAATTTCCTACAGCCCGGATGTCCTTAGGAGTTGAGGCAAAAGTTCTTTTTAATAAGTATTGGAATGTATCACGGAGATAAACAACTTAATGAGGCAAAAAAAAATATCACTAATCATATTTTATTATAATCGCATCCGAATGCCGAATCGTGAAAGACTATTTCTCCGTGGTGCTACGTCACTGCACTTCTACTTCGAGGGCGACGGGATCAATTCCCGCACGGAACAAGTATTTGTATGGCGTACATTGTTCTGGGATCTGGATGTTTGTCCTTGTGGTAT